CATATGTTCCATTCTATATGCATCCGAAGAAGTGGGCTGTAGTCCACGAAAGCTTATGCTCTAATAAATTTGTTAGTCTCTAAGGTGCCACAAGTACTCCTGTTCTTCTATTCACTATATGTTCTTCCCAGTAGAAGTGTAAAACAAATTTTTTACTTTTTATCGTCATTCTGTGCTATACACATGGAATATCTTCTCCTGCCCTGAGAATTCATGGAGTTATGCTGTATGCTTGTTACTTGTTATCCCTCTACATTGTCATTTGCAAATGTTTGTGAGGTAAGTTTTCACTGTAAATATCTAGCAGAGTTTAAATATAGGTAGTTAACACTTGCCCTAAGCCTGCAGCAAGGGCAATGATGCCTCAGTGAATAGTATAAAGCCAGTCAGTGCACGCTTCTGTCATTAAGAGGCAGCAAATGTAGTCCAAAAACTGATGAGTGAAGTTTTAATCCTGGTCAGAGCTCAAAGGAAGTGGTCACACGGATGAAAAGAATGAGTTCATGATGATTAAAAGAAAAGACATAGAAACTCTTAGGCATGGGATGTGCCAATTACCAGAATTATTTAAAGGAAAATAGGCCAAAGTGAGTGGCTAAATCCACGGATCTCAATTTAGTGTGGGAGAAATTAAAATTTAGCCTGCAAATATAAATAAAGTCCAGCATTCTGGCCAAACTCTAACTGGTAATTGCATCCTGTTAGCTCAGTTCTGCACTGAAGTTTCAACTGGATATAGCATTGTTCTTCATATCCTGCCCCAAACAGTTGCTATGTTCTACCGTAAAGTGACTTTTATTTCATTGGTGTATGAAATGATTCCTCTAAATAGTTTGTTTTTCCAGTTAAGTTTGTAGCATTTATTCATTGACTACTAACACTTCCACATTTCCAGACCTCCCAAGACTGTTTTCAGTATCTTCCAAACAGGGGCGGCTCTAGCTTTTTTGCCGCCCCAAGCACAGCAGGCAGGCTGCCTTTGGCGGCCTGCCTGCGGGAGATCCCCGGTCCTGCGGATTCAGCAGCATGCCTGCGGGAGGTCTGCCAGTCCCGCGGCTTCGGCATACCCGCCGAATTGCCACCAAAACTGCAGGACCAGCGGACCTTCAACGTGCCGTTGAAGGCTGCCTGACTGCCGCCCTCGCAGGGACCGGCACGGCGCCCCCCGCAGCTTGCTGCCCCAGACACTCGCTTGGAGCGCTGGTGCCTGGAGCCACCGCTGCTTCCAAATATAGAGAAAGATATGATCCAGTCCCTACCCCTAGGAGATTACAATGTAAATTACAAACAGTATAGTCTCACTCTACGTGATACGTAACTTGGAGGGAAACTACAAACAGTGCAGCACTTTGGAATCTTGCAGCATGAAAAGTGCTCTATGAACCCAAGATAGTATTATCACATGATTTTCATAATTAAATAAAGACCGCTTTCTAACTCAAGTTACCCCATGAAAATATAAAGTCATGGCCATTTGTGGCTTTAAATTTAAAGTGCTGCTGTTACATTTGTAGATTTTTTCAGTTTGCAACAAGAAGGAAACTTCAGGATGGGAGAATCCTGAAGACGCATTCTAAGCTCTAGATTTGCAGATGGCGTCTCTCTCATTAGTAAGAGAGATGCAGCACAGAATAAGAGGTCTCTGGAAAATAAGCATATATGTGGTAATGTTTTATTTTCTCCCTATATGACAAAAATGTGCTTGTCTGTTCTAGGACCTTTCTGGGGAGGCTTTCGCCAAATGGGTATTTGCAGGAAAGAGCGAACCTGGTTCTAACAAATAGATATCAGACATAATTGGCATTTTGGTGTTGGTATTAGCTGGGTTAAAATGTCAAGACAACTAACTACTGGAAACTTCCCACCAACAGACAGTACCCCAATTTGGTGACTTCTCACATTTCAGCCACAAAAATGTGCATTGGACGTAGAACCTTTCTAAACTTGTTTTTCAGTGGAAGGTGCATAGAAGCTGAACTACACAAAATGAAGTAGGGAACTCTCCAGTAACAAGGCGGGGGGGGAAGAAGTAGAAAAATCTAACTTTTGATAAACATCCTGTAGCCTCTTTTCAAGGGGCGAATGGATGTTTTCCATGGGGAATACTAAATTCCCCTTTGGGACTTCTGTCCAGTAATGATGGGCGGAGATACAGGTGCACTTTAACAATCATTTCTGTCTTCATTTGTCTTTCTCCATTTCCAGAGCTCCCAACACAGTGGCTCCTCTACCTCATTAGCATCCACCAAAGTTTGCAGCTCCATGGATGAAAATGATGGACCTGGAGAAGGTAAAAGAGACTGTTTTGATGGCAGAAGGTTGTTGACATTTCAAAACAATGATAGCTCAGCAGCTATGCGGGAAACAAATTGCTATTCATGCTGAAGCGAGTGAAGAGTTGCAGGGATGACTTGACTCTACCTTTAGAGGGTTACCAGGTTTACTGAACTGGTTGAATCATGGATTCTGTGCTAGCATGATGTTTGCCCTGCATCCAGAATAGCATTATTCAAGCATTTCAGTTCCACTGTCTTCTATGGTACTGATCCCACAGATTCCAGAACAGCTCCCAGAAGCAGTGGATTCTGGAAGGTTTTGAAAGACCACAGGTACAATATGGGACAATAATAGCAGAACTAGTTGAAAAATTTCCTCGTTGGTGCTAAATGGGTTCAAACAGAAATGGTTTAGAGCAACCCAGTTCTGAAATGTGAAAGCTTTGTCTACTCCACCCAGATTTTAAAATGCTTGTGAATTATTTGCAGCACTTTTGTGTGTGGACACAGTGTGAAGAAAGTCAAAGTGGATAATCATGGTGGTCCCTTCTGGGCCTAAAATCTATGAATTACTGGCCCTTTTGAAGTCAGTGAGAGTTTTGCCGTTGACTTCACTAGGATCAGGATTTCACCCAAAGTGTCACAGAAGCATTGGGGATAAACTGGTTGTATTGTAGAGAAGGCCCAACTGCCACTTTAATGGCCCATCTGTTTAAAAAAAAATCTGGTTTTATAAATTTTTTAGATGGTGGGATGAGGATGATGGTGGTTTATTGTTGTCTGACATACTCATTTTACTTACAAGCACTCCCACTTGAGTACTTTGCGGGCTGTGTTTTTCATTGTTTTATTGTGATGTATATCTTTTAAAAAAAAAAATTACAAGAGCACCCTCTAAAAGCTGAAAAATAAAAGGAACCCAGGGTGATAAAATGGTGAAGAGTTAGAGGGAAAGGTAATAAATGCAAGGGCAACTAAAATAGAGTAACTTCTAGAATAATTCTTATTTTAAGGGTTTTTTTAAAGGAGGAGGTGATGGAATGAGAGGGATGTAATTTTGACAAAAGTTCCAAACTCTTGGGACTAGCAAAGCAAAGGTCTAGTAACCTACCCATTTAAGAGGAGATGGTTGGAACCTTTAATCTGAAGTTGTCCATATGAAACTGAATTCCCCTGACACATGAAAATTCTGCAAGGTCATCATTCCTGCTGGGGATGTCACATATTTCCTTCCTTTCATTTCATATATAACAGCAATATGCTTAACATTTCACAGCCTATAAGGAGACCTGTTTCTTGTTTCAAAGAGTTTAGAATTCAGCATAGACAAAACAGTTCAGACACAGATCGGTATGTTGTATGCTGACATGAGTTCAAGGTGGCATAGGACGAGGTTTTTGATATGGTGTAAATTAATTTGACATTTGATTAGAAAATGAAAGCAACAATTAGAGGACAGTTGTCTTTAAAATAATAACTCATGTTTGATATCCCTTTAATCTATAAAATTACTTTGGACAGACAGTATCTCAAATACCCTGTCCCAATCTTTCTGTGATAAAAAGCATAGAGTATGGCCAGGATCTTTACCAAAATGATCATAGTATGCCTGAAATAAATTAATCTGAATAGCGCCTATACTGGAGTGTTCCATGCACATGTAATTACTTTTTTAGGAAGCATGAGGAATCACATTGGGCTTTAGCAGAAAAATGACAAGCCAAGTGAGATGAATATCCTCGCTGCATGCCAATGATTAAGATATGTGACTCAGGTTGGCCTGTACTCTGATGCTTATCATTCAAACACACACAGACACACATATGCCTGTACCATTTGTAATTTAAGGTGAAAAACACAAAAGTCACAGCATTTCAATCTTAACACCACATTGGAAAACGTGGGGTTTTTTTTTTTTGCCAAATAGTCTCTCACACTTCATATTCTGTTGTGTGAAATGTAATTAATATTTACTGCTTTAAAGAGTGTAAATTGAAGAGTCACTGTTTTAAAAGGCTTTTTAGCTATTAGTATATACCCAGTATATTTATGTGGTCCAAAGGTGGTTGGTTTAGATTGAAGTCCATAATCCCAGCTTTTGGAAGCATTAGTAGGCATTGGTAAACTGCTATTTCAAATGTATTTCAAGAATAAAGATGCATTAATAGGCACTAAAGTAACAGAAATACAAACCTTTTCTGTGTGTAGACCCTGTGTGTAACACAATTTTACCTAAACATCTGGTGCCCAGGTTGCATGTGAAGGTGATATAATTGAGAACATTTGTTTAAAAACTAAATATTTAATATTGAGGGGAAAATAGCACTTAACACATGAGGAATTTTATGGATGTCTCATTTTACAGGATGTAATAAAATAAGGGCTTGAGTGTTAGATTTTTGGTACGTATATTTAATCATACTATGTCAAGCAGTTCTAACCCTTATCAAAGGGCTCAACTACGCTTGTGCAGACCACAAAGGCCCTTTCATATTTAAAAAAATACAATTTCAGTTTTACACTCTGAATATGTTGCAATAGGGACTGTAAGTTGTGTAAACCTTGAATGGCTGAATCTACAGCCCAGAGGTTTTATTTTTCATCATTTGATCTGTGTGAAACCTATTGAGTATATACAATGTCAGCAACATGGTTTTGCTATACACTAAATGAGATATTGATTCTGAACGGTTTCCATTGGACGCAAAGAGCATGTTATGTGCAACATCTGCATTTCCTTCTCTACCAATAAAAATGCACTAATGATTTTTTCAGAAGTGTTGGAAGAAGGCTTCCAGGTTCCAGCATCAATAGCAGAAAGATATAAAGTTGGAAGGACTATAGGAGATGGAAATTTTGCTATTGTAAAGGAGTGTATAGAAAGGTGAGAAGGATTATTTGCTTATTACTGTAAAAGCAATCATTAATATAATGCTTTTCCTAGCTCATACCTTTATTTGCAGACTGTGGGACTTGTGGAATAAGGTAATATCTCAGTGCCAGATGTAAAAAATGGAAAAAACTTGTCTAATAACCTGTGCTGTGAAAAAAGGAGCAGTTCCAAGGGACAATCTATAATTTTCATGCTTTGGGGTTTTGTATATACAAGAGGGGTGGGTTTGAGTTCCTCACCCCTAAACCCTGAAGTAGGCTCTGCTGCCAGAGTCCCACTAAGAGGTGAGAGAGAAAGGGGGGGGGCATTGCTGAGAACCAAGAGAGCATGGTGTAAAAGAAACAGAGGGAGGAGGAGATGTCCACAACATAAATTATTATGAAGCTTCTGATTTCTGATGATGGCAATGCAGAGAATGGCAAAAAAAGAGCCAGAGAAAGAGATGTCCACAATAAACAACAGAGCTGCCAATATCCAATCATGGGAGTTCTGAGAATGAGGTTCCACATTCACTGCCACTACATCCTAATGAGGAGCAATTTACAGAAGACTCCACAGTGGTTTCAGAAGCAAATTTAACATGTTGGCAAGTAAGAACTTTGAAGCCAGCCACAAAGACTTGATCAAGAATAGGCTGGATGCAAACTAGAGTCTCTCTGGATTGTCCCAGTCTGGGATTCAGATTGAATTGTCTCCGTATACCAAACTAACAGCTATTGTGGAAGTCTGAAAGAATAAGCTTTCTCTCTACAGACTCAGGGTTCACATGGTATGTGGCCAAGATTATTATGACACCTTCACAGGCCTTTGAGAGAGGTTATGATGTTGATGCAAAAGATCTTTCAGATCAAACTCCAGAGTTGAAAATGGCCACTTATAGGAACCCTGAGCTAGAAAATGTAGAATCTACCCAAGGAAAAGGAGAAAAGCAAAATTAAAGAGGGCACATATAAAGCCATATAGAAGAAAACAGGATAAGGTGAAAGAAAAGGGGAGAGGGGGAAGGCTAAGGCTAGAGTGCGAAAGACGAAAAGGGCAAGTCTCAAATGAAAGAAATAGTAGATTAGAGAAGCTAGTGGATTATGCAGCAGAACAATACTGTGAGATTCAGAGAGTCTTCCCTGCCTGCAGTTAAACATATATATTCAAGCAATTTTGGGCTTTTCGTGTGTTTCTAAAGTTGAGAGGAAATGTGTTACAAAGAAATGACAGAACTAACTGTTGGTCTCACTACACACAGAAATAGTGCTACCACTTCCCAGTTATCTTTAGTAATATGTAGCACTATCTGTATGGAATACTCTATAAGTGACTATCTAGGGAATACATGATTTTGTGGTCTCGTTATGCAGATCATCCAAAAAGAGTGCACACCTTCCTGCATATGTTGTTTGTGTTAGAGAAACTATTTGAGGAATGTTTTTGAGAGTTAAACCACAAATGTAGTTAAATCACAAATGTCCTTATATTCCTCCACCTGTAAAGCTGGCTTGGTTACCATGAGCGTGAGTTCAGAGAAACAGAAACATTAAAGTAATAAATGTAAAACACCTCCACAAAGACCTAAAATAGCATTTCTAGGCATAAAAAAGCATAGCTATAAAGTTATCTCAGGCCCTGTAGGGCCAGGAGTGAATGCTGGGCAGCGTTAGGGAGCTGAGGAAATTTCCTCATCCCACTGGCATAAAACTCCTGTGTCTAGAACAGACTTGGACCTCAAAGTTATGACTTTTTGATCTATTAAAAAACCTGTCACTGTACTAAGACTGAATCTTACCCTTCCTGGGCCTTGAGTAAGATTTTACATGCAGTATTTATTATGTCTCTAATTTATCGCATGCCTATCTCCTCCACATACATGGTGTGGGTGCACAGGTGTGTGTGTGTGTGTGTGTGTGTGTGTGTATCCATAAAAAATCATGACCATGATCCTGCATTCCTTGCACACCCAAAAGCCCATTGGATTTTGTGAAAGCTTAGTGTGTGGAAGGAATGCAGCCCCTTATTTGGTCTAGGAAAATATAATTAACAAAAGGTCTAACAATTTAGTCTGTGACCAGTACATAGTTGTAAACTTTTATACTGCAGTAATCTGAATTTTCTGCTTTGCACTGTAACTTTTTATTGTTCATTTAAGTGGTAGGTATATCGTCGCTTACCATATGATTGTCTCTTTCTGGTCTGCTCTGAATGTTTGCTTAATAGGTCTGTAAGACACAGAGCGAATCAATGTTGCCAATAGTCTGTGGTTACACATCTTTTTAGAGGAAAGAATAAATAGGATATTAATTTACATTGTTAGCTTTTATTTTCTTTTTAAAAATGTATGATCCCCCAAATCAAAGAGTAGCCAGAGTTGTAGTCTGCTTGTTACATATTTGCTGTATTATGCATGCAATTTGTCTGGCAGACAAATTCATTTCTAACATACCAGATTTTGGAAATATCTTAATATTTTGCCGAGTTTTAGCCCCATGCACCTGAGTTTCTGATGCCGTCCCTCCCACTTAAGATAGACATTGACACTGTAACTATCTGTCCCTTCTCAGGTTTGGATGTGTCTACTCAGAATAAATGCATCCACAGGAAGGCCACCTCAGGGTGAAGAATGGCCACTTTTCAGAGCTGTAGCTTGAAGCCCTCTAGTGGAGAAAACATAGATGTCAGGGTGCTTTGTTGCGCTTTTAAATTAAGGCTTTAACAGCAATGCTGTAGTTTTGAAGAGATGATCATTCAGAATAGCTTCTTTGGAAACTCTCTTAATTTGTATCCTAATTTATATCTTTCTTTGGGGCCCTGCTGGCTTTAGAATCTGAATGTGATAAAGTATTTGTCACATTTTTCTTTTTTATAAATAAAATTTACAAAATTTGGGGGTTGGGGCATAATCTGCTGAACATGAACTCCCAGTGCGATGCTGTGGCCAAAAAACTAAGCTGATCCTGGGGTGCGTAAATGTGAATCTTGAGTAGGAGTAGAGAGGCTCCTTTACCTCTCAGGTATGTGTTCTTGTTACAATAATTCTCTTGGTCTATTGCTATCATCGGTCCAAAGAAATGTTAACATTTGTATCCCCAGAGCCATTATTGTTCCAGATTTTGTCCTGTTAAAATCACCAACCTTAAACTCGGCGGGACTACAATGTACTTACCACATCCTTTAAAAAAATATTCAGATGATATACTTTTTCATCTCAGCAGTTATGGGTACTGTGCTTGAACGGCAAACACAAAAGCCATTGGGAAATTTTCATTGCAATTAAATGTTAATTTTTTCTTTCATCTTTTCTCAGGTCAACTGGTAGAGAATATGCTCTGAAAATCATAAAAAAAAGTAAATGTAGAGGAAAAGTAAGTATGAGAGCTCAAATAAGAACTATAAATGTTTCCAACAAAACATTTTTCTGTGAGATCTTGTTTTGACAGCTAAGATCAGTTCGGGAAGTTCTTGGTGTTCGAATTCTTCCTGGCCAATGGCAGAATTTTTGCAGTTGAGGGCATTTGCATTTGGAATTTTCTGCCCTTAACAGGCCATCAGAGCACAAGTCTAGCAGCCTGCAGAATACAATGAAAGATGCATTTACTTGGTTCAGCATTTGGCTAACTGTGTGTGTGTTTGCTTTAACTACTGTCATTAAAGCATGTAGCTGCCAGAGTGGTAAATGCTATAAAAACAGTAAAATAGAAGTAATAATCATATATAGTAAATATTATATTAACTGAATTGCTGCTGTTTTTTATAATTCTTTACTTAATGCTTTCTGGGAATATAGAGCCATATTTATAACTGCTCAAAATATTTTTTGTATTAGAAAATTTTCTAAGAAGCTTCCGTGACTGACTGACTTTTCTCTTCCCACATTTCATTTTCTGTGTTCTCTTCTCTGACCTTGACTCAGTCACCACAATGATGCTGTTGCCAGACATTTTCTACATTGCCTAAAACAATGTTTGTGATTTTCATGGATTCTTTGGAAGATTTGAAAGTCCCAAGAGCCTCTGAACTCTCCCTCACGGGTGGGTGGAAAGGGTAGGGTTTTTTTCCACCAATCTGTATTAATTTAAGATTTTTGTTCTGTGGCAGGAGCACATGATCCAGAATGAGGTATCCATTTTAAGAAGGGTCAAACATCCCAATATTGTTCTTCTGATTGAGGAGATGGACATGCCAACTGAGTTGTACCTTGTCATGGAGCTTGTAAAGGTGCGTATTTTGAAGGAGATCACCCACATACGTGAACCCGATTCAAGACTGTATCAGCATCTTCAGGCATTTTACTCGAGCAGCTTTAACCATAGTACATGATAAAACCCACTAAAATGCCCGTTGCTTTTATCCTAAAGACTTACAATAAAATATGACAAGAGATGGGTGTTTATACACTTGCTGTTTGGGGACTCTCAAGCATGTTCATATTGTGGACCACATCCTAATAGTGTGTGTTTTGTGGACACCTCACCTTCCATTTGTGATCACTTGGCCCACTTCTCCTCACATATGGCATCACATAACATTCCTGTGGTACCTGCAGCACTGTCTTACATGACAAACAGATATAAGAAAACAATTGAATTTTTAGCTCATTTTAACACAATTTAGCTGCTAGCTCTGCTTATTTCCAGCTCTATGTGACCTGATAGTTTTTTGTAGACCACACCAGCAAGTGCTCAGTGGACAGTATTTTGGGGGCCCATGATCTTGTTCACATGTTTCAAAAAGAATTTGGCCCCAGATTACACCAACAGGCAAAACAAAAGCACCCAATTAGAGCATTTGTATAAACCTCATTATATTTTTCTGAAACAAAGTAATGTGGCCTTACATTTAAAATACATTATCTATGTCATCTGTATCCATTGAGTTTAGTGTCCCTTCATTAAATCTTCTCTTTTACTTTAATTGAAATTGAGATTGAAAAAACCCATTGCTGTTTAAAGTGTGATTCTATCCTGAAAAATAACTTGGTAAAAACAGCATTGTGAGGTTAGTTCTGAATTTATTGCCTTGTAGTGACTTCCCAATTGAATGTGTTCACTTTACAAGAGCAGATTTTCTTCCCCTTATTGCCAGAACTGCAAACTCAGTCTGGAATATACGAGTCTTTCTGGCCCATGTATCTTTCACAATAAGGGGTCTTGCAATCAGAATTTAGCTAACAGTTCTGTTAATGATACACATGTCAGAATACAACCCAGCTCGCTGAGAGTGAAAGGTAATTAAAATGTATTTGTCAGTAAAATCAGAGAATTCTGAAGAAATGCAGGGCAGAGAGGTCTTGAGTAAGAAAATGCTATTTTCCATAGTGATTTTACAGAATAGACCTGCACTTCAAATTCACTTAAAAAAACAATGGTTCTCCACTTATTTAATTCTGCAGAATACTTTGTAAGAGAGACCAACTCTCTCATTAACCACTTCTATTCTCAATATCCCATTCCCGCCATCATTCCAGCAACACTTTGTTTTGGTGGCCTTGCAGACCATGATTTGAAGTCCACTATTTAAATGGTTAGGACCCAATTTTCAAACATAGATACTTAATTTGTGCCAGCAATACTTGTACACACACCTGTTGAATGTAAAAACTTCACCCTGGTGTGCAAAACTGGCCTTTAAGCTCTTAAAAGTTCTACCCTATGCAAAGAATACCACTGCCTTCCAACCACACCAAAACTGGAAGACCATGCTCTCCCCTCATCTCCATTCATTAAGTAGGGCCCTGCTTCTCCTGCTTACAAGGAGTGGCCTGTGCATTATACCACAAACATGTAAGAGATGGGAAGTTGAATTGCCTCTCAATGATTCATCCACAAACAGAAACAAGACCCCTTCAACCACTGCCCAAGTTCTGCTCATCCGCTCACCTAATCTCTAGAAGCATAGTAAACCCTGCCACCTCTTAGTTCCCCTCCTCTGCCATCTTTTTGGTTTTATAGCCATTCTTTGGTCCCCCATCAGGTGACTGGGCTTCTTGGGTCCAATGAGAGAGACCTAGGCAGCCACATAGTAAAACAATCAGAAAGGTACTGATAGATCTGCTCGAGTTCCAAACTCTGGGCCATTTTAAGTCCAGCAGAGGTGAAAGTAAGCTGGTACGCCCTGGTATGGCGTATCGGCAAGAGCTGGTTTGCCGTACCGGGGCGGCCCGACTTCCCCAGGGGGCAATTTAAAGGGCCTGGGGCTTTAAATTGCCACCAGAGCCCCACTGCTGGAGCCCTGGGGTAGGGCTGCGGGGTTCTGGGGGCTATTTAAAAAGTCCGGGACTCCTGCTGCTTCTACTGCCCCGGCCCTTTAAATAGCCGCTGGAGCCCCACCACCACTACTCCAGGACTCCGGTGGCTATTTAAAGGGCTGGGGCGGTAGAAGCAGGGGATCCCCGGGCCCTTTAAATAGCCCCCAGAGCCCTGGGCTGCTGCTGCTACCCCGGTGGGGGGGGGTGGGCACTTACCGGGTGGGCTGGGTCTGGCTCTGACTCCCTCAGCCACGCCCCTTCCACCCTAGGCCCTGCCCCTTCCGGGGGCCAGAGCTGGCCCCAGCGTACCAGTAAATCACTGTACTTACTTTCACCCCTGGGTCCAAGTGACTACCCATCTCAACTCAGTTTCCTATGACAGACCCTCCATCTTCCCCCTTCCCTCCAGAAGGTCTACTAGCCAGTGTGAGTTGTGCCCTGACTGCAGTGCCCAGGACCTTAGGGGTGAGCAATCACTTAAAAAGCAGGCACGTTTTGCAGGAGCAACTTACTTAGCCACCCATGTTTGAAAATTTGACATGCAATATGGTTTTTTGTTTGGGTTTAAGTTATAATCCAGTTCTCATTCAGCTAAACAAGAGAAGAGGACACTGCAAGCACTCATAAAAGGAAAGGTCTCAAAATAGAATTATAAAGAGGCAAGCTATTCTAATGACTTCATGGGAAAATCAGTCTTCTACTACTTCTCCTACTCTCTTCCTCCTCAACATACCCACCCTCGCTTGCATGCTCTTTCTCTCTCTTTTTTACTTAAGAATTTCTGCAGATACCATGAAGTTTAATCTGATGGTTTGCTTTTTTTTTTTAGTTATGATAATATTTATGCTTTAGGAGATTTTTCATAGACATAAATTAATCTGAATTTCTGTGAGCACATGAAGTTAATAGGTTCTTTACCTTTATATGATGAGGGGGAATAAGGAGAGAAAGGTCCTAATCAGGGCCGGCTCTAGGCACCAGCTTAACAAGCAGGTGCTTGGGGCGGCCAAGGGAGAGGGGCGGCACCTGCGGCAATTCGGGGGCGGCAGGTCCCTCACTCCCTCTAGGAGCGAAGGACCTGCCGCTGAACTGCCGCCTCCAATCGCGGCTTTTTTTTTTTTTCCAATTGCCGCCGCCAATCACGATCATGATCGCAGCTTTTTTTTTTTTTTTTTTCTTGGGGTGGCAGAAATGCTGGAGCCAGATGTTAGTATTGTTTCTCTGAATATCTATTCTATTTGTTAATATTTAATTGAAAAAACCTTGCTATACTGTGCTCTGCAGGCACCAAGGAAAGTATTTCTGAAAGATATTAATTGTTAATTCAACAATTGCTGACTGTTTCCCTTGCACCGCACATGCTGTTGGAATTGATTAACCATCTGTTATTGACTGACTTTTGAAAACCTGAGTTTAAATCAAATTCACACACAGGAATGAAATTCAAGAAGAAAAGGCTTGTTGTAGAGCAGTTGCAGTTAGTATCACCCTGCATTAATTGACAGTAACATGTTTGACAAAAGTGGCTGCTGTAAATACTGCCTTCATTTCATGGTAGGCATATCGTTCCCTGCTTTTTTTTTAAAGCGCTCTAAGTGTAAGAAAAAGCACTTCATAAATACAAATATAAACATATTGCAAGCAGTGCTTGTAAAACAACTGCAGGACCTGGCTGCTGGCATTTTGCCTTTCTACACAACAAAACAAAATTATTATTCAAACCGAACAGGGGGTTAGTCAACTTAACGAGCAAGATTTACTATTGAGTTTCCTTTACTACTCAGGGATATGATTTCACTTTCACAGCAGAAAAGAGATTATATCATTTACATAACAAGGTAATAAATAATTGGTTACTGTACTTACAAACTTACTGCTTTATGTGCAGATGATAAAAACTACATTCTGATGTTGCTAGTCTGACTTAATTCCAGAAAAATCGGAGAACCAAGAGATAAGGGTTGAAATTGCATCCTTACGTGCCCCCACCCCTGTGCCCAATGTGCCTAAGTAATGGATGGGTTGGCCTGATGTATGAATAAGCTAGGCAGAGCTTGGCAAGCTATAAAACACTAGTGCTTCAGAGACAACTTAGAAAAAATATTTGTCAACCATATTAACGCTTTAAGTGCCTTTCAGCACCTCTTTCTCCTCTTTTAACTTCAGAAACACTTATCAATATAATAAAACTCAGTGTAGTCTATTTATATACTTTTTTTTAACTGGAGGACAAGGTAGATTGCCTGACTGCCAACAAAATTATTCTGCTTTATTAGCTGTCTCTCTATTAATGTACTCTGTGTGCTTTCTTTTTATTTTCCTTTCTTGAGTTTAGGCTTCCCTCTATTCTTTTATTTCTTTTTCTTCTCTTTAACTTTAGGTTTGGTCTTCCCCTTTTTCTTTTTGGCTTTAGATTCATCTTTCTTTTTCTTCCCTTACATCTGAGGCTTGACCTTTTTTCACCCTCTTTGGGCCAGATCCTTGACTGATGTAATCAATGTTACATCTGAGGTTTAGGAACATAGGAATATAAAAACATAGGAATTGCCATGCTGGATCAGACCAGAGGTTCATCTCGTCCAGTATTCTGTGTCTGACCATTGCTAGCTCCAGATGCTTCACAGAAAGGTATAAGAACCCCACAACAGGTAGATGTGAGATAATTTGCCCTCTACACTAGGTCTCATCCTGATCTCTAATAGTTAGAGATTTGCTTAAACCATGACATTTGAGGTTTAATATTGCTTCTAACATTTTAAAGAAACCAGTCCTTTCCCTTAATCTTCTCTTTTGAGCTTAATCTTGGCCCCTTTCTCCTCCATCTTCTACTTTATTCTGTTTGAATTTTTCCCCCTGGTTTTCCAAGTTCTCTAACTCATGATTCCTCTGAGTGGTTGATTCAAAGAGTCTTGATCAGTGTCATCAGATAGTACAGAAGATCTGTATGGTCTAGATTTGTCAATGACTGTCTTCAAACACTCTAGTGAGCTGGACTTTTAAAACCCAAAGTGGGAATAAATCTGTGCTGGACAACTCTAATTAGCATTCTGGAATGAGCTAACTTTGCTTTCATTTACCACAAGTCCTCTTATCTTTGCAGCTTGCAGATTTCTTAATTGTGCTGCTGAATCCTCTGCTGAGCTATTATAATTTTCAGCAAGATGTTTTCTACTGGACTGGTGGCAAAGGTGCTGAAACTTTGTCTTCATGTTGCCCACAATCAGACACTAGCTGTATAGCCATGTTCATTGTCAATCTGACCTCTTTCTCTTGTTCTTTTCTTTTCTTTTCTTTTGTGCAACATCTACCCCTACTTTGGAGGTCTTCACAGTGCTGGACAGTGTACCCTTCTCCGATTTTTTCGGACTTCACCTTCTTATCAGGTTCATTTTCAAGAATTGAGGGGGCATCCTATACCCACCTATCTCCAAATTCTTTTTTCAGAATTGCTCAAGTTTTCTGCTTTTGTTTGTGAGCTTTTTGTAGAACCTCATTTTATTACAGTTTGCATCCTTCTGTTTCCCTATCTTGCTCTGTGGTAGTTACTCAGATTTCCTAATAAAATATGTGTCATGTAGATTTTTCAGTGTTTCATATACCATTCTTTTTATCTTGACCTAAGTCCAATATGTCCTATGCCTCTTCCCCCATATTGTATATAAAAGAGGTGTACTTGGTATTTATTGGCATAATTTACAAGCTCTGATGCAACATGAAACTGCTCAACACAGTTTATGCATTTTGGCTACACTGATTATAATCAGTGAAATTAATGCTTTCTATAGGAATTATACCAGTGTCAAAACACAATGTTGAGTTGGATGCCAACAACCATCAGATTGGCTAAACAATCATGATGGGTTTAATTTTTTATTTTCAAATATTTTGGTTCTCTTTATTTTTCTTCTGCTTTTTGCGCCTCTAGCAGCCATGTTTTCTAGCTTTTCTCTGTAGCCACAAAGGCCAGAAACTGACTTTTTTTCTTTTTTCTTTTCCCCCAATGAAAACTGAGATTTGCATGATTCAGGCCCTGGGGCTTAAGGAAAAATACCTAATAGAATGAAACATAGGATAAAATCATGAGAGTTGGCAACGTTGGGATTATGGGAAATATTTTCTCCATTGCCCTGGGAAAATAACTTCTGTTCCTCTAAGAACACTCTGCTTTTATTAATTTTTTCTTCTTTCTGTTGCTGCTGTCCCTGCTAGGCAGCTTGATTTTTCTCACTGTTTTTGCAGACTCTGTCCTCTCCTTTTCTGTTTCCGTGGGATCTAGGCTTCCTTGATGGAGCTGCTCTGTTTTTGGCCTGTGGTCCAGTTCTTCTGCAAAGCAACCTTTTATTTTTCTCACCCTGCCTTACACTCTTCATTGAACTGGGGTTTCTCCTGCCCTCTTGGCCATTCTCAATCAGTTTAATATTTTTTCTCTCTTTTAGCTCACTGCTGGTAATACAGTCTGATTTAGTGGCTGCTCGAGAGCTTGAGAATGGAAAAAATAAACCCTCTCCTCACTTACTTACTTTCTCTTCTTTCCTTCATTCCTTTCCTTTTGTTTCCCCTCCCTGGAAGTGGCATCCAGCCAGCTCTGGCACCGTGTCATGTTAATGTGTAGGAAGGAACACAGAGAGAGGCATGGGTGATTGCAACAGAGTTAAATACTTTTAGTGAACTGGGAAGTGACATAGGGCTGGTCCACACTAACTCCCCAGTTCGAACTAAGATACGCAACTTCAGCTACGTGAATAACGTAGCTGAATTCAAAGTATCTTAGTTCGAACTACAAGGTACTTACCGCGGGTCCACACGCGGCAGGCAGGCTCCCCCGTCAACTCCGCCTACTCCTCTCGCGGAGCAGGAGTACCGGTGTCGACGGCGAGCACTTCCGGGATCGATTTATCGCGTCTAGACAAGACCCAGAAGATCGATTGTTTACCACCGAACCCGGAAGTAAGACGTACCCTAAGATTGTCTCCAGTGCAGTAAGACTACAATGTTAACTCATCAAATGCCTTTGAGCATAATAGTGTATCATATTTTCTGTTGGGGGACCCCAGTGTTAACATCAGGAAGTAGAAAACCTAGAATACTTGACACATTCTAAAAGGGAGAGAGGTCTCTGAAGTTAATGTTTTTAAAGATTTCTGAGAGGTGGAAACAAATTCTTTTAATGCATTGTATATATGCTGGGTAGATAGATACATTATGGGAAATAATTTCATCTTTAATTCTAAATATCCATATCATTTTAGATTTAACTGAGATTGTGGATATGGTTTTGAATGTAGGTTATTTGTAATTATGATAAATGGCAGCAAGGATTGGTACCCAGCACAGTGACAGCTGAATATGCTGGTAAGCAGCAGGTTTGCAATGTAGGTGCTAAGGAAACAGGTTGGCAGTGCTGGAAATGTCACCGAAGCAGCATGCTTGGCTACGGGAGAGGAATGGGTTGCTTAATATTTTCCTCAATCCACAACTTTCAGCTCCATTAGCTGACACGCTGAGCAGTGTTGACCAGCTCTGAATGGGAGGTATGCCCTGCCTTCTGTCCCTGGGAGGAATGATACCACAACACAAGGCCTTTGTAGGTAGGAAGGACCTCTGTGGGGCCCTCACAAAGTGGCACAGTGCTGCTATTCATTTTCCAAAGATTATTAAGCAGTTCTCTATGTGTACAACAGGAAGTTGTTAATGTGCCATGGTTATTCTGTTCCAGGGAGGAGACCTTTTTGATGCCATTACCTCCACTAACAAATACACAGAGCGGGATGCCAGTGGGATGCTGTACAATCTGGCCAGTGCCATCAAATACCTCCATAGCTTGAACATTGTTCACAGGGATATCAAACCTGAGAATCTACTGGTAAGTGAAAGCTCTACTTACTGTATTGTTACTGCTAACTTGGGAGTGATTGAAAGTGTACCTGTGCTCTCAATGAAATAGTGTATGCCATTAGCCTTTTAACTTACTTTCTCTCACATGCTAATCTTTTCATCATCAAAAGGTCTTTAAAACCAACAGCAGTCACAGAGAATATAGACGTGTCAGGCTCCTAGAAGTTAAACAGTCTGTCTTTAGCAAGTCTTTGTCCTAGGACACTAGTGCAGGATTATTCCATACAGTGAATTTTTCAGTGTGTTTTCAGTCTAACTACAAATATTTCATGCAATAGGGTTTTAGGCACTTTCCTTGGAATAAATGCTTTGCACCTTTACATAGTACCAAGCTACCCAACCCCCCTACACAGGAGATTAATAGCAGTATTTCAATTTACAGACATACAAACTGAGATTACATGATCTGCCCAAAAGCATGTAGTGTTTCAGTGGCAGATCCAGGAATAGAACCCTGAAGTCCATCTATGACTGCTCTAACCATATAACAGTCTAATAGATCTTTCTGTTAGAACACTTTCCTTGTTAGACAGTCTAAACCTTCCTTTTTCTATTTTAATGTCATTGATTTTCTTCTGAGGGCCCAGTCCAACTCCCATTGAAGTCACTGAAAAAACACCCTAAACAAATTCTCTCTCTCCTTGGGGTCTACATATTTCTTGACCGTTATTGTGTCCACTGTCATCTTTAGTTCAGTCTTTGCCAGTAAATCAATCTCTCCAGTCCCTTAATCATTTTTGTGTTTGCTCTCTGAATTTATTCTAACTTGCAGAGAATTTTCAGTATCAAGGCACCCAAAACTGACTGTGTTTTACAGCAATAACATAATTTAGATTGTAAAGAACATAAGTTCTCAGCTGTGCACTGTCTGCCATCATCTTCTGTGTTTAATATTGTTTGGCAATGGGAAGTTGTTATGGGAAAGTTGGTTCAGGTAAATCTTAACACACTTGCAGAGAATTGGGTTTGTACAATTCAGAACTCCACAGTGACAGCTGTCTGTATAATTCTAGCCATTCTTGGCCTAGTTTTTCAGAAAATGCTAAAACCATGTAGGCCAGGGCTCTCATTAGACATGAATATGTACACCCCTATAGCAGTCTTAATGCTAGTGTTCATAGACTGCTGCATGCATAAGTTATAGCAATCACATGTCAGGATTCATTAATGCTGTGTCTTGGAATGTGCAGTAAGATTTCATGGAAAAAGACCTACCATGCTTTTGTATTCAAACTTCTTAAATTCCTAAAGTTTGACAGCAGTACCCTGAAGCTTTTTTAATGTCTTTCTGCTTCCACCCTCATTATTCCCTTGTTGGTAATACCCACTGGCCTATCGTGAGTAATCATGTTGTTCTTCACTTTATTCAAATTGTTCGAGTGTATTTTCCAGTCCAGAGAACACAAAGGTCATATGCTGCTGTTGATACTAAACAATGGCTAGAAGGCACTAAACTTTTCACAAAGACCATAACTTTCAAAACAAGCACTTGTATATTAAAACTACTTCAGCTCCACTGATGTAAAAGAAAAGGGTATGGGGTATGGGGGCACTTCCATAGAACTTATCAGGTATATGGGGGAGCACAGGAAACGTGTGTTCCCCTTGGTACTTGGTATGATAAATTAGGCAGCACTCATCTGATAAATATAAAGGATCTGATTCTCATTTACACTAAGGGTACGTCTTCACTACCCACCAGATCAGCGGGTAGTAATCGATCTGTCGGGGATTGATATATCGCATCTCGTTAAGACGCGATATATCGATCCCCGAACGCGCTCCCCGTCGACTCTGGAACTCCACCGGAGCGAGCGATGGTAGCGCAGTCGACGGGGGAGCCGCAGCCATCGATCCCGCGCCGTGTGGACCCCCAGGTAATTCGATCTTGGATACTTCGACTTCAGCTATGCGAATAGTTGTGTATCTTAGATCAATCCCCCCCTAGTGTAGACCAGCCCTAAGGCCCCTTTACTCTGCTCTGGCAGTGTAATGGGGTATTAGCGTACATGGAAGTCAGGTCTCTAGTTTGTTGGTACATATTGACATCAAGTGTGTTGTCTCAGCACTTAACTCCACATATATCACAAAACATAGAATTGTAGGGATGGAATGGACCTTGAGAGGCCATCTAGTCCAGCCCCCTACACTGAGACATTACCAAAGTGTATCCCGTCCAACCTGTTCTTAAAATCCTCCAATGGTGGGGATTCCACAACTGCCCTTGGAAGCCTATTCCAGAACTTAATTATCCTTATAGTTAGAACGTTTTTCCTAATATCTAACCTAAATCTCCCTTGCTGTAGATTAAGCCCATTACTTCTTGTTCTACTTTCAGTCGACATGGAAAACAACTGATCATCAGCCTGTTTAAAACAGTCCTTAACATATTTGAAGACTGCTATCAGATGCCCTCTCAGCCTTCTTTTCTCAAGATTAATTATTTAATCTTTCCTCATAGATCTGGTTTTCTAAACCCTCCATTCTGAACTCTCCAATTTGTCCCCATCTTTCTGAAAATCTGGGGCCTAAAACTGGACACACATCAGCTCAGGCCTCACCAGTGCCTAGTATAACAGAATAATTACATGTCTTTCATATGACACTCCTGTTTATGCACCCGAGAATGGTATTTGTCTTTTTCACAATGGTATCAAATTATTTGCTCATATTCAAGTTTGTATTCACTATAACCCTGACATCCTTTTCAGCAGTACTACCACCTAGCCAGTTATTCCCCATTTTGTAGTGGTGCATGTAATATTTCCTTCCTAAGTGAAGTACTTAGCTTTATTGAATTTCATCCTGTTGATTTCAGACCAATTCTCCAATTTGTCAAGGTCACTTTGAATCCCAGTGCTGTCCTCCAAGGAGCTTGCAACCCCTCTCGATTTGGTGTCATCCATAAATTTTATAAACATATTCTCCACTCTGTTATCCAAATTAGTAGATAAAATGTTGACTAGTATTGGACCCAGGACTGACTCCTGCAGGAAACAATTAATATGCCCTCCCAGTTTGACAGCAGACCACTGATAACTAGTCTGAATAGGGCTTTTCAAACCAGTTGTGCACCCATCTTATAGTAATTGCATTTAGACCACATTTCCATAGTTTGCTTATGAGAATGTCATGTGGGACTGTGTCAAAAGCCTGACTAAACATGTTGTGACATAATAGATTGCCATGATGTCAGGTGATCTCGCACTGTAAGTCAGCATTTGATCCATTGACTACATTACTGCTCTAAAGTTCATCTAGGCTTTGATAGAGAGGGAGATTATGGTCTTTAGCACAGTACTCAGAGCTAAGAGTTTCTGAATTCTAATCCTGTCTCTGACAGTAACTCTCTGTGGCCTTAGGAATGTCTTAACCTTTCTGCCTCAATCGCCTGATCTGTAAAATGGGATGATATTTATTTGTCACAGGTGTACGATGAGGATTAGTTTCTTAACATTTTATAAACACTTTGAAGTTGGTAATTTCTATACAAATGGTAAGTCTTTTTATGTTTATTATCCATTTTAGCAGAAAAATCTCCATGAGCTTTCAATGTGCTTAAAGTCTGTAATTCTGTACCTATGCATCCACTTGCTCTGTTCTCTGGAGGACATGCCTTCCGTGTTTTAATTGGAACATTTTTATAATTGCTGCTATTTAACACGTTTATTTTGTGAAATCATGGGATGTTTTTATAGCCATATAATAAACCCTAGAGAACAACTTCTCTGACTGTTGCCATCTGCAGTGATCACAAGAGCAGCTTAGAAAATACTGACAGTCTTTGTAGTAATAGGATACATATGGTGGCACACAATTATGTGTTTCTGCATTCAATTAGTGTTGTACAATTACCCAGTTTTATTGCTTAGTTAAAACAGTGAAAGCACTACATAGTGGGTAATTTGCACTAATCCCCATCTCTCTAATTGCCCTTCAGTGTTTAAATGCAGTAGAACATGTATAGTGTTTGTTCTGAATGAGATGAGCATTAAATTATCATTCACATTCCTTGCGCCTTGACTGGCAATTAACGTACCACTTCTTCACATTAGGAGCACTTTTATAGAGAGCGCTAAATAGAGTTATAACAGGGTGGGGGGAAACTATTCTGTTCTAGCGTTACTAGAAAATCAACTGAAATAGTCTCTCAAGGAAGTAGTAGAAGCCTCATTCCTGGAAACGGACTGACAAAACCCTAGAAAATATACCACACTGCACAATTCCGCATTGGCAGAGGAACGGATTCAATGATTTAAGAGGTCTTTTCTGTAATTAATTGCTCTGATTATGGTTCATTCACATCACCAGTGTGACTAGTGAAATTAATCTGTAAACATGCACTAGATTAACCAAACTAGGTGAAGGCATTTTCCACAATAAAAGGCAATTGCATTAAGGATGAATACTAGTTACAGTGGCTTCAGCCACTGATCTCTAAATCACTTCTTTACATTTTCCACCAAGTGTCTATTTAAAGTTTCTAGTTGCTAGTCTTTAATTAAAACTGTGGTTGAAATTAGATTTATTGCTCCCATTTCAGCAAACACTTCATTTCAGGAACCAGATGTATTTAACAATCGGTGTTTTTAATAAAGATGAAATTACATTTTTAATGGTCTTTATGCCCATTTTTTGCTGGCTTAATAACAGAGAAGTGTGAATCCATTTCAGATTGTTGGTCCTCTCACATAACAAGATCCAGTTTCATGCACTTATTAAAAACAATCGGAGGAACAGAGGATTTCTGTGAATGCTGAATCTCCCCTCATAATATAGAAAACCTGATATAATATGTTGTATAACCCTACAATACAGAAGAGTGGCAAGAAGGTTTCTTAATCTTTCTATGCAAGGTTGTACAGCAAATGAAGAAAAAATTCTCTTCATAGGATGGCTAGTTACAGTTGTTTTTGATGGATCCCTAGCAAACTGTTTCAGTTGATGAGGAATGGGTCTTCTAGTAAAAACTTTTGCACTAAGTGAGCAGATGAAGAGTCTCTGTTGAGTTCACTGCCCATTTCTTAAGGAAATCTAAGAAGTTTCTTTTGCAGGAATTTGTAATTCAGTGAGGCTTTTGTTGTGGCAGTGTCTGTTCAAGGTGGTGGTAAACATGAGATTACGCTTGTAGACCAAACACATTTTTTAAAATGTTGTTAGATTAAACTGCACTAAATTTCACCATAAATCAACATAAAAACTGGAAGAGAGAGCCCCGATCAACTACTGCCTTAAGGGATGATTCGCTGGTTAACATTTTATTTTGATAAATTTAATTATTTTATTTTGACTATTTGTTTTGATATTTGAATATTTGTCAGTGTTTAGGCACTGGGGAAGCAATGGAAATTGGAATTTTCCTATTGTGGCAGCTATCTTTATGTACTGACTGCTTCTAGAATATAAAGTCTCCTCTTGCACTGATTAAAAAGAAAACAAAAAAATTGCAAGTAGCTTTTCACTGCTGAAGAGATCATAATTTAGGGAAGGATTTTCAAGAGCACTCAGTATTGGCCTAACTCTGTTTCCATTGAAGTCAGTGAGAGTTATACCATTGACTTCAATGGAAGAAGAGTTGCGCTAACACTGAGCACTTTTGAAAATTCCACCTTTAGTGTTTTGTGAGCGCTCAAAAGTGAGCATAAGTGCTTAGTGAAGTAAGTGTGTTGTGACCTCTCTAGTGGCTCGTCCATTGGGAGAATAAAAGCCTACTACTGCTGTCAACTAATGGAGTTACTCCTTTAGCTCAGAAGTTCAAATCCCTGTACAAGCCTTTCTTTTGTGTATTAATTTTAATAAGCTACCAAGGTTGTCAGACTCAGTGGGGATTTAACCCAGGAACTTCAACGTCAAAAGCACAGGCCTCTACTACGCTACTATACTTTAGTTTTTAACAAGAGAAAGATTTTGTGCTCTTTGATGATCAGCCACTAAAGGGGGATCCAGCATACTTAGCCAGTTACACTGGGTATGTTTATTTTTTTAGAAGAGAGACCATATATGAATCAAACCCTCCTAATCACTGTGATTTTTTTTTAAATGTGCGCTCATCTGTATTTTGGGAAGTGAAGGAGAGAATCTGAAAGCATACTCAACTGAAAGGAGTAAGTCAGGAAGTTAGCAAATTGTTCATGAGTCCATTTACATAGAACCTTGCTGATCCTTTGGATTTTATTTCTGGTTTAGGTTTATGAACACCAAGATGGAAGCAAGTCTTTGAAGCTGGGAGACTTTGGGCTGGCAACAATAGTGGATGGACCTCTTTACACAGTCTGTGGGACCCCTACATATGTAGCTCCAGAAATCATTGCAGAAGCTGGGTAAACTATTTGCAGTAAAGGTTCATTTAAGTGTGCAAGGTGGAATATGTTCTCGCCAATATATCAGTTATAACTCTTTTAATTTAGGCTTTTTTTCCTACCTTTTATTAGGGGTTACCACGGCAGTTTTTAACTTCAAAGTAGAAAGTCCTCAAATTAGCACTGAGGCAGTAACTAACCGTTTCTTTTAACCCTGGGGTAAAAGTAACAAAAAAACTGCCCTCAGTGACTGCTAACTGTTGTTTTCTGTGCTCTTCCTTTGTCCTCTACTGTCCTCTTCCTTAGGGTCTATTGTGTAGAGCAAACCCCCACTGGGGTGAGTGACCCATAGCACCTGTGCAGGCTTCCTGTCAGGAGAGGTCAAACGAGCCCTACTCTCATCCAAGAAACCAGTACGCTTTATCATCTGTGTTCAGACATTCTAATCCAATGTAGCTTTAAATTGTAAACATCTGCTTTGGATTTGAAAGCAGATATTGGTGTACAGTATAGATAAAATTCAGCTCAGACCATTTCATAAGAATTTGTGCACTGACATCGTTGTCTTTCAGTTGTGTACTGTAGTTCATACAGGCTTGGTATCTCTAATTATAATACTTCTAACACTTTTAGATATGGCCTGAAGGTGGACATCTGGGCAGCTGGTGTGATTACTTACATCCTGCTGTGTGGCTTTCCTCCATTCCGTGGGTATGGGCTATGATCTTTTATCCAACTCTTAACAATGCACCTCTATGCTGTGAATGGTCCATGTGCCTGTCCTGCACTAAGAGGTCTGCTGTGGGGGTGGAGGGGAATCTTTGCTTGCAATGTTGGGTTATTTTTTTCCATGCTCTACCTGTTAATTTATACAAACTTCATAAATCTCCATTGTGTTTCTGTAAAAACCCCAGTCTCTTCTCATTCTATTTATTTTGATGTAATCTGCCTTGCAAAACAAGTGCACCCATTCCAGGCTTTGGGTGCCCTTGGCAACCATTTATAATGTATGATGAAATCAGCAGATTCCTCCAGTTACTCCCCAACACAGTAAGCGGGAAGCAGTAAAATGTAAACAAAATGTAAGCCATCCAACAGAGATTTACACCTGTAAGCAAACTTACAGCCTCCCCTCACAAATCTCCCCTCTCCATTAAAGCAAAGAAGGAGGGCTGGGCCTTGCCTTAAAGATAGGCAAGCTCAGAAACAAAGAGGTAAGTGTATCCCAAAGATGGAGGGAGCTAACAGAGGTTGCCCTACAAGTAGACTCTTTTTTTCCCCCTTCTCACTTGTGCTCCATCTCAAGTGCCCTCACAGTCCACAATTGTGGCCATGTGGCATGGGGAGAGGAACTGGTTCCAAAAGGCAAACTTAGTGAACTACAGTTAAAAGCATTTTACTTTTTAAAAGTTTATAAAAACGACATCTGTAAATAAATCTTATGTTTTATTTTGTGTTTGTTTGCTTTACAGATGTGGAGATGACCAGGAAGTGCTTTTTGATCAGATTTTGATGGGCCAGGTGGATTTCCCATCTCCATACTGGGATAATGTTTCTGATTCTGCAAAGGTAGATTTACAAAGTTGGCTCTCTTCTGTTTTATCAAAGGTGCCCTGTATATATGTTGTGTGTGCAAAGAGAGTGTAAAACTACTGTTGTTTTGTGTCCCTATATTTGAGAAGCTTTAGGTCTAAACTCCCCTGAAGTACATATGTGTCATCTACAACATTATTATCTGATTATTGTCTGTGTCTTAGATTGTAAGCTGACCTGGGCAGCACTTTGTTAGTATTTGTCTCTTATGCAGTGAATGAAAAAATGAAGTCGAATGAATAAATGATTTTTCAGTTGAGTGGCTAAATCAAAAAAATCAGAAAAAATCATTTTGTTTCGGGTCGACCCAAAATGGAAATGTTTTTGGGTCAAATGAAACATTTCATTTTGTTATCAGGTGTTTTTTACTCGTTAGTAATTAAATCTAGCTAAATTTTGAAATGAAATGTCATTTTGAAACAATATGTTGAAATAAAACATTTAAAAACTTGTTCAACGTTTTTCCCTTTTAGGTGGGAGGGGTGAATCTATTTGCCAAAATCAATCTGAATTCAGATAATCGTGATGAACCTGACACTGCATTTTTCAGAGACTAAACTATTTGTCTGAAAAATTTTGCCCAGTTCTAGTTTTTAGCATCCTGTCAACACCTATTGAACAGTTAAAACTTCCAGTAACTTGGATCATAAATAGGCACATCCTTGGGGCAGTGACTGTGCTTTCTATGGGTTTGTACAGCGACTAGCATAATGGCAGCTGGATTCCAATTGGCACCTCCAGGTGTAATTGTATTATAAATACTAAATAATAATAATCTGAGGGAAACATGTCCCATGATTAATGACATGAAAGGATTGTCCTGATATCTCTTTCTGTCAAAGAACCAGGCTCAACATTGCTTGTAACTCCTGAATGTTGCCAATGTATGAGACTTTGACTTTTTCTATCAATCCATTACAAGACGTTCATTTTTTTAGTCCTCTTTTTTTAAAGCAACTTTCAAGTATAGTAAAAGCTGTTTTATCCAGCACTTCACCAACCGGAAAGCTCTATAAACCGGCATTTTTTATCTTAATTGAAAGTCAGGTTTATAGTCCAGTCGGTGCGGGGCTGGCAGGGGGTTGGGGTGCGGGATGGGGTGCAGTGCACGGGCCCTGGGAGGGAGTTTGAGTGTGGAAGGCAGCTCGGGGAAGCAGGTTGGGGGTGTGGGAGGAGGTGCGGGGTGCCAGATCTGTGGGGCACTCACCTCAGGCAGCTCCCGCAAGTGGCAACCTGTCCTGGCTGGGAGCTGCGGATCCAGCGCTCAGGGTGGGGCAGAGGCAGCACGCAGAGCCGCCTACTGTGCTTCTGCCTATGGGTAGCCAAGACAAGTTGCCTATTGTGGGGAGCCCCCCCCAATATGGCACCCTGAGCCCCCTCCTGTGCCCCAACCCCCTGCCTTGAGCCCCCTCCTGCACCCAAACTCCCTCCCAGAGCCCGCGCCCCGCACCCTTGCCACGCCTCAATCTCCAGCCCCGCACCCTACTGCACCCAAACTCCCTCCCTCTTAGTTAACCAGCATTTTTCACTTACCGGCACCTGCCATTCCCCCAACATGCCGGATAAAACAGCTTTTACTGTAATAAGGAAGAGCTTGATTCTGAGAGGAGGTAAGAGAGCTGTGGGTGCACAGTACCTTTCAGGATTAGTCCCTAACACAATTAAACACACTTGCACAACAGGGTTGAATTTGGCCCAAGAGTTCAAATTCTCTGGAGCAGTCTCATTGGTGCACTATAGTAAGAGGTGAAATTACAGAGTTCCTAGGCATTCTGAGTTACAGTAAGATTGGAGTTGATTGGGGTTTCATATTTGCAGTCCATTTGGGTTGGCATGTGTATAACCAATAGATTTCACCCTAACACTTTCCTTTTCTTACCTTAAGCTTGGGAACACCAACACATAATCATAGGATGAATATATGCTCTCAGTATGAGCACTAATTCATCACAAAATAATGTCAGTGTTTTCATCTGGGGTGTGAGGATTGAAAATGACATATTAAACGCTGACTCTTGATTCTTCTATACCACTGTTTTGTACTATGTTTTTGGAAATAATATGGGAGGGGTAGAGGGTGGGATTTTAGTTTTCAAACTAGTGAAATTAACATACAGGATACAGTACTTGGAGCTGAAAGAAAGCATTAAGTGTTAGTAGGAGTCTTCTAATCCCTCCCTTTGTATTGTGGCAAGCTTGATTTCATCATGCGTAAGACATCACTCATCTGTTAAGAATCAGCTCTAGTCTTCAATATCTCTAATGACAATTCCACAGCTCCTTTGGCAAGCTCGTTCCATTATCTAACTACTCTGTCTAGTTAGTTTGTTCTAAAATTTTCCATTTTGATGCATAACATCATTAGTTTCTATTCTGCTCCCATTTATTATTGAAAATAATTGATGTCTATCATTTCTGATTTCCCTTTATATTAGCATCCCATTACTGTTATCTTTTCTATAGATTGAATGCACTCACTGATGGGAGAAGTAATGCATTAAATGCTGGTAGGAAACTGAAGGGAAAATAGTAAAGAAGAATTTGAAACATTAAAACAAAGGTTTTAAGAGTTAGAAATATTTTTTTGAAAATATCCACTTTGCTATTGATATTGGGAGCTAGAGAGAGTCAAATTCTAGAGTAGTCTGCATCATCTTTAGAGAAAATTGGCTATTTTCTAAATGGGCAACTAACCTGATTTCATGCTCCCATCTGTTTTGTACATTATGTGAGAAGTTCTTTCCTCTACAAACTGCTGACTACAAAATTAACTCAGCACTTATGGTCTTCTAGCTTTTCAATGCATTATTTAGCTGTTGATTTAGAAGTTCAACTTACAGTTCAGCAGTTGACAGTTTTTTTAAATAACCTTAGTATATTTCCATCCTATATAATTCTCCCACTCATTGAACACTGTGCTTTACTACAATCAATTGAAGATCACTTTACTGAATTAAATCTTTTGTTTTTCTTCATAAAAATGTGTTCTAAATGGGATCTTGTCTTCCATTTCACAGGAACTTATCACAATGATGCTTCAGGTAGATGTAGATCAGCGATTCTCAGCCTTGCAAGTTCTCGAACATCCGTGGGTTAATGTAAGTAATTTCAGGACTGCTGATTCTTGTTTTAGTCTTGTAATCTTTTAACTGTTTGCCATCAAATACTTTAAATGCCTCTTTGGAGCCAACATTTTCTAAAACAGACACAGGTAATGACCAACTTACTGTGTGGTTTCACTGGAAGTGAAAGTGCTTTGCTAGTATACAATTAAATATTTTTGTGCACAATGCTCTGCACTCCCTTCCCCCAATATCTTGGGCCACATTTTCAACACACCTCCTTAATTGCACCTGCAAACTTTGTCCATTTCCCAAAGGTCAATTTGCAGGTGCAGTGACACATTTTGTGCACGTAAATCAGATGGGCTCACAAGTCTTGCAATCACAATTAAGGGGTCTTGAAATATAGTCCATGTTTTAAAGCTGGATGATTCAGCATTAAGTTCAAAATCTTTACAATCAAATATTAACTTCCAAATTTGAACTATAAACATGTGTATGTACAGTCATATCAGTTTAATCTAGATTAGTGTGAAATTTTCATTTTTATCTTTAGATCAATGCTCATTTGTTCTGAACCTGCCATAAAATTGATTAACAAAGGGGTGGCATATGGATCAATCTGATATAGATTAAGAAGGCCTGGGCCTGTCTATGCTTTAATGTTGGGACAGGGACGCTGTTTAATATGAATTATTTATGGCTATTTAATATGTTTCAAAATATTTGGATAAAAATGTAAAGAAAATGGGGGGAGGGGAGAATCTAGATTCCAGTTTAAAAATGAAAATATATGAAAGCAAAATGAGTACAAGAAAAAATATCTGAATTTGCATATTGCAAGTACCAGCGTGGAATTCCTCCCTTGCACATTTGTGTGATTCAGCACTTTCCCCTAGTATCCAAAAAGATCTCTCTCAGACACTTAAAGAGAGTTCGCGCGCCGCTGCTCCCCCTCCCTCCCAGACTTGAGAGCCTGGGAGGGA